TCAGAGGATTCCTTTGGAGTTTGATTACTTGAGGTATTGGGCACATGGGAGCAATTGTTAAGAGACATTTTAATGAAGATATTTCTTATCTGGAAAACAATGATTATGAATTTATAATTTTGAGCAGTTATATATTTGTCTAGATATTTGAGAGTAAATTTATTTTTTATCCCCTAGAAGTAAAAAAATAAAAGTTCTTATACAATCCAATACTTTTAAAAATAAGCAGAATAATGCATTTTAATAAACACAAGAAAGACTGTTTCAGGATTGAATCAGATTACTGGATCATCTTGAAGTAAACATCCAGCTGGTATGTTTTTTGACTTTACAGTTTTAGAAATGTGATTTTTCAAAAGTTATCCAGGAGATACCAAGTATTGCAAAATTGAGTCTGGCCCTATGATCTTGTCCTGGAATTCAGTTCTCTATAATGTATTTACAACTTCCTTTAGCTCTCATCTATTTGACATATCTTTAGTTCCTACTATGTGCCAAGCACTCAACTAGGAATTGGGGATACTTAAAAGAAGAGACATTATTTCCACCATTTGAGTGATGATACATAAATACAAACCATTCATTACAATTAAGTATTTTTTGTTATGGACACATTTACAAAATGTAATGGGAAGATAGGGGAAGAGCTCCTAAGTCAATGAATTAGATTATAACTAGGTTCTTTGCTACTAATTGAATGGACTCTTGTTTTACCATTTTAAGAAAAAATAATAATTTTAACAATAACATTATACTAAATTCCAATTTGCATTTTGTACCCCAATTTTTGAATTGCTTTTGGAGCTTAGGATTGTATCTATTAAATTTTTTCATCTATAACTTAGAAAGAGAGCATAAGAGGCTTTGAAAAAGTAAGGCTCTAAGATCTATACAGAAACTTAAGAGTTGTGTTCACAACTACTAAGAACGAGAACCATGCTGATTGTGCAGTAAACCTGGTAACTTCAGATTATTATTTCAACTTTCATCTGTGAAACAGAATAGGTTAATTGGTGATCTGTAAGGAAGTAATAAACAAAAACCTTGCTTTGTCTTCTTGCAAGATTTTATTTGAAAAACTTAGTTCTGCAATTCAATAGGAAGCAGATGCTTTATTTCAGTGTAATATAGTATATAGCTCTTAAAAACAAAGCTGAATCTAATTAATGCCTATTGTTAGAATCTAGTATTTGAAAGATATTTTTTAAAAGACAGTGATTAAATATACCATAGGTATTTTTTCACTTTATGTTTATTGTTTACACTATTACAGATGCCTCATTGCCCCTCCCCCTTTGTCCACCTCTCCCTGCCCTTGTCCCCGCTTCCCTCTGGCTATCACCACACTGTTTACCATAAGATTTTAACAGTCCTTAAGGTAAGAATTATTTTCTTTAGGTATTTTCAATTATTCTATTTAATTAGATATTTCTGAGTTAATGTTATTGGTCTTCAGCTGAGCAGATTTTGAATATACAAAATATGGAAAGATTTTCATAGGCTACAAAGAATAATAATACAACTTATATTCATTGAATACACTCTAATTGCCAGATGTGGCTGTAATCCTGGTGAGCATTTGCAGTTTTGGAGCTAGCTTAAATAATGATGCTGTGAATATCCTTATCTCTCGGTGCATATATGTACCTTTAGGTGATAACGCTAAGCATTTTCCAAAGTGGTTGTACCAATTTTTCCTCCCATTTGCAGTATATAAGAGTGACAGTTCATCATCCTAATCAACACTTGGTGTTTCAGTGTTTCTAATGGGTACATAGTAGCATCCTATTGTGGTCTTATTTTGTACTTCTGTAGTGACTAATAAAGTTGAGTACCTTTTCATATATTTATTAGCCATTGAGATATCCTCCTTTGCAAAGTTTTTAGCCCAAAGACTGGGTTACTTGTCCTTTACTTACAGTAGTTCTCTTTATTTTATACATGAGTCATGTATAAGATAATTTCATCGCAAATAACTTTATTTGTGATAAGTTATGCATTTTAATTCTTAATGATATCACTTAATGAAAAAGTTCTTTTCATATAATTTTATCAATATTTTTCCTATGGATATATACTTTTGTGTAATGTTTAAGAAATATTTGCCTACCCAGGCTAATGAAAAAATACTAATATGTTGACAGGTTTTAGTTCAGTACTTTGATGCTGTCATTCTGTTGTCTTTGAGCTTTCATCAATTTCATGGAAAGTCAGCTATCAATCGATTTTTTTTTCTTTTTTTGAAGATGATGTGTCTCTTTTTCCTCTTTTGCTCTGAGATTTCCTAATTGTCTTTGGTTTTCAGCAGTTTACCTCTAACATACTTAGATGTTATTTTATTAGAATTCATCTTGCGTAGCATTCATTGAAGACCTGGACTCTGTGGCTTGATGTTTTTCATGATTTGTAAATTTCTTCACCATTATCTATTCAAATGTCACTTATGCCCTCTTCTCTCTCTCCTCTCTTTCTGGAAATCTAATTTCACACATGATAAAAATTTTCATGTTTTCCCCTAAGTGTCTTACATTTTTTCATTATTTTTCATCTTTTAAAGAAAGAAAACCCACTCAACACTTGTTACAGGCCAGGTGTGTTCACCCTAGCCACATTCTAGTTTAAAAGTTGTATTCAGCACTCTTTCAAAATCTTACAGTTGGTCTCTGCCACTACCAGTAGGAGGAGCTGTGAGTCCCCACTTCCTTTCCTGTTGCCCCAGCCAGCGCGAGAGGATGCCAGAGGGGCAGAAATGTTGGGCCCTAACTCCCAGTTCCAGCCTGGGGTAGCTGTGAGGAAGGCCAGCCCCTCCGAGCCGCACCAGCAGAGGCTGCCATCTTCGCTCTGGGTCGGAAGCGCAGCCTGCGGTCCTAGCCGCCTGCAAGGCCCCGCCCGCCTCTCAACTTCCAGGAGGCAGGCCTCCTCTCCTCCTGAGGCCAGAACCCGTGCAGGGCCCGGGTGGGCCAAATCTCAGGACTGCCAGGAGCCGTAGGGAAGCCTGGCCTTACCTGCAGCCTGGCCACAAGGACGACCTCAGACTCCATCGAGAGGCTGAGAGCAAGGCCAGGCCCTGAGAGACGCCCCTGGGAGAAGGGAGAGCACTGCCCCAGGCTTCCTCTCCATCGTGGCCAGGCCGGGGGTGCTGGAGGGCCCGGCCCGGATCTGGTGGGCGCAGGGTCCCCGATTAAGGGGGCCAGCACAACCACTAGGCACTATGTGTAGGCCTCTCTTCCCCCATCAGCTCCTAAATTCTTTAAACTAAAGCGGCAGAGGGGAGCTAGCACTTGGTAAAGACGATACAGTGTATCTTTGAGTGAGAGACAGGAAATGCATATGTAGGCAAGTTATTTCTCTTCTGGTGGAGGCGGAGACCCTTTGCTCATCCACTTCTGCTCTGGTAACTGGAAAGTAAAAGCTGCTCATTTCTAAGTGTCTCCTTTCTTGTCTTGAGCTCATCAAGGACTGACACGGATCGCTCAGTGTGGAGCCCAGAGGTCTCCTGTCGATTATTCCAGTGCTGGGTTGGTGAAACCTTCAAGCTGGAGGAGGGACAGGGAGGCGCAAAGGACAGGGGCTAAGTGAGAATTAGGTCTAAAGGTGGAACCTTGCATTCGATCATAATTATTTAGCATGATATGATGAAATATGTAAAACAAGTATTTGTATTACCTTAGTATAATCACTTTGGGTACATTAAAAATGATACTAGACAAATCAATATAAGTGTATTCACATTCTATGATGGTCAGAATGGACCCACCCCAATCCCATTAATCATATTTTCATGAAACATTACATTTGTATATGTTACCTTAGTTAAGTTAATCATAGTAAAAAAAATCTTTAACTCATTTAAAAATACAGGTTTCTGGGCTAGATTCTGTGTAATTTATGCTTTTTGACTCCGCCGCAGTCTAGATATACTGTTTACTATGTTGTACCCTTAGAGAACTAAGGCTCCTGTTAGTGGACAGACTGTGAGCTTTGAAGGTCCCAGTCTTTCTTTTTCACGTTGACTTTTGCTGCTGGACTCTGGGCCTCAGCGTCCTCGTCTGAGAAGTCAGGTGAAGCTACCTATCACTAAGGCCCCTTCAGGCCTGATTTTGCATGACTAATCCATTATAGAGCAAACTAAAATAATGGTGCTTTTGCAGGTTTTTGTTTGTTTTTACTAGAATCAGGCTGGCAGATGCTGCAGGCATCACATGGAAAGGGCGAGGAGGCACAACTGGAAAATGCCCGTGTTTTGAGGGAGTGATCTTAATGAGTGAGAAAACGGCATTTTCTTTTGTTTTAAGGGGAAACAATCCCGAAAATGTTCTTGAGTATTTCTGGATAGAGAAGTACAAAATGGGTGTGTCTTCCTAAATGTTTAAGCACTTGAAGCACTTTTGGACAGCATACTCACCGTCCCAGCTAGTTACTAGGACTGGCCGAGTTCCTGGCCTAGCCCCGAAAAATGTGGGGTTTGAGGTGAAAGGTTTGGCTGCTAAGCCTAGACCCAAGCGCCAGATCCTTTAGCTGGGAAGACCGAGGTGAGGCTGCTGCGAGTTCATCTGCGCGGCGGGCGGCGAGCACCTGTTTCCCGGGCGGGCGGGGCCGGCCCAGAGGCGAGGCCTTGGGGGCAGCCCCTCCTCTTAGCTGGGCAGAGCCCCGCCGAGGTAGGGGCCCAGGTGGCTCAGATGAGGGGCCTGGGGCCCGGGCAGGGAAGTGACTGGCTCGCTTACGTCTTATTTGAACTTTATGGGGGTCTAATTCCTGCTGGGAGGAGGCAGAACCCTGGATAGTGTTTGTGGGTGGGCGTGAGGGCGGTGGCCGTACCGCCCAGTCTCGCCGCCCAGCTCTGCGCCACCGTCTCCTACCCGACGCGTGCGGGCGCGACTGCACGCGCCCGCAGAGGGCTCGCCCCGGAGCCGGGCGCCCCTCGCCTGCCACCTGCGGGACCCAGCCGGCCGGGTGCGGGACGCGCGCGCGCGGCGGGCGCGGTGGCGGCGGCGGCGGGAGGAGGGGCCCACAGCGCGGCCGAAGGACGCCCCGTCCTCTAACTGCTGCCCCCTGGCTGAGCCGGGCGCGGCGAGGAGGCGGCGCCGCTGCCCTGGCCGCGGGACTGCCCTCGGCTCCCTCCCGCCCTGACGCCAGCGCGCCCCCCGGGCAGCGCCGGCGCCTGGGGCTCCGGGTCCGCCCTGGGCAAGGAGACCGCCGGACGCCGCCTCGGCCCCGCGGCTGTCCCGACGTGCGACCGGCGCGCGCTCCTGTGGCGGTAAGTGAACATCTGGAAGAGGCTCTACCGGTGCGTGTGTGTCGGTCTCTGCTCGTCAGCTTTTGCTGGTTGGATTTTTCAGTGGCAGACACCTGTGAGTCACTGGAGGATTCCTGTCCAGCAGACCCTTGGCCAGGTGCCTGGGATAGCGCCTCGCGTCCCCTAAATGGGGAGAGTTAGCCCCTGCCCCTCCCACCTTGGTCTGAGCCTCCAGATGAAAGGCGTTATAAGCTGCAGTCGCACCATCCTTCCTCCTTTATACCTGAGGACTGAATGAAGATTTTCAGGTAAAGATTTGCTTATGAACATTTAATTTGTATGCCAAGCTGTCAGACTTGTGCCCTGAATAGCATAAGATGAGCAAAGTATTAGTTCTTGTACTCTTTAGAGGTGTGGGAGGCTGAATCTGGAGGGTTATTGTGATGCAAATAGAAAATGTATCGGAATAGACAGATATAATCCCTCAGCGGTTAGCAAAGGGATCTGATGTGAGCAAAGCAGAACGATTGGAGTTCTCTTCTGTTTCCCGTTTACCCCTCCCCATCCTTCATGGAATAGGTTAACATAAAATTACAAACTAGGAAATGTTCTCATCAAAGACTTACATCTTTTTAGGATCTGGTGCATAGGTTATTTATCTTAGGGAAAATTTTAATTAAGGATCCAGAGGAATAAGTAATCTATTTTTATTATGACAAAGTATAAATTTCATCAAGATCAAAACTTGAGTATACCTTTATTCTTGGAATGAGGTTGTTTTCACGTACCTGATACAGCTAACATATATAGAGGGGTAATAACATTATTTAGATATTCTGCTTGACTTATTCAGCAGAACAGTCTGGAACAACTTCAGTTTTTAACTTCCTTGTTTTGCCATCAAACAAAAATTACTTACTTATTAAGGCCACAATCTTATAGCAAAAGTGTACTTTAAAATCATAGACCAACCTCCAATCCATTTTAGTATCTCCTTTGTAGAACTCCTGACGTACTAACCACATTTTGATGGAAACTTCAGCAACTGGGAGCTCATTACATTTTGAGATATCCCTCCTTTCTGTTATTGTTTCTCTATAAACAAGGATGTTAGCAAATCCTTGTTTGCCCAGAACTGACAGCTTGCTTCCTTGGACCTGTGAGTCACTTTCCGAGTCACCCTTGCCCCCACCTATGAAACTATATGCAGATTTTTTTCAGTAGAGCTCTAACGCTGTCACCTAAGAGTCCATGACAAAAAAAAAAAAGTTTAAAAACAAAAGGTCTAAAGTGGTACAAAACAAGACTTTTGTCTCCTTTAATTAACAGCCTTTCAGATCCCTGAGCCTCAGCTTCTCATCTGTAAAATGGGAATGATTTTATACTCTCTCTACCCATAGGGTTATTGTGAGGATGAAATGAGATAATCTTCATGAAGTACTTAGTATAGTTGCCTAGAAGTCAGTAAATGTTACTTGTCCTCACTAAGTAGTAATCGTTTTTGTTTCCTCCCTTCCTTAAGATCTCTCTTTTTGCTAAAGATCCTTAGCCCCAAATTGAATTCAATAATTCATTCTAATCTGAACAGTGCAGAGTGCAATTAGTTTCTGTCTTCAAATGGAATCATTCTTTAATTATGCAATTAAAAGTTTCTTGAATGCGAACTTTTTTTTTCTCTTGTATTACTTTAAGCCTCCAATTTCCAGTTTGTTAAATATGTTTTAACCTGATTGTGGCATTCATCATATTAATTCTGCCTTTCGGTTTTGTGTCACCTGCACATTTGGTGAGTCTGTTGACCATTCAAGTAATTGATAATATATGGAACACGTCCCTTTGCTATGGAGGCACATACAGAAGCCTGTGGCACAGTAGAAATGGTCCTGGACTTTTGGAGCCTAGTTTTGGAGTCTGGCCCTGATACCTACTAGCCTCATGACCTTGAAAAACTTCTTTCCCATGTTAATGAAATGAGGTTAGTACCATGTACCTTTCAGAGTGCTTGTTAGAAGCCACTATGCTAAAAGTGTCAAGTACAGTACCGCTGGGAATCTAGTTAGCTCAGTAGATAACAGTGAGGCAAATAATGAATCAGCTGAACTCAGCACATGATTCTAGCCCATGGATCAGACTTCTTCATACGGACATCATGAGAAAAATTTTAATCAAATGCCTCACTAAAAGATCCTGAGTATTCTCTGATCTATTGCAAAAGAATATGACATTAGTTCAGTATGATTTTTTCTTAGTGAACTGCTAGTCCCTAGATATTTCCAATATTCCCCCACCCCTCATGTCCCCTGTTTACCAATTAAATCTTGAATTGTGCAAGAAATGCATATTCAACTCACTGGCCTATAATGCCTAGGAATTCTAATTGCATCCTTCAGCTTTGATTCCCCCCCCCCAAAGAAAGGTAACTGATTTTTATTGATCTAGAATTTCTTAAAATTTTTATTTCATTTTTCAGTTACAGTTCACCTTCAATATTACTTTTTTTAATCCTCACCCAAGGACACTTTTGCATTGCTTTCAGAGAGCAAGGAAGGGAAGGAGAGATTGGTTGCCTTCTCATATGCACTCTGACCGAGGATTGAACCCTCAACCTTTTGGTCTACAGGACGCTCTAACCAACTGAGCCACGCTGGCCAGGGCCTATATTACTTTGTATTGATCTCAGGTGTAAAATTGTGGGGGGGAAAATGTGTGTGTGAGTTTCTAGTCTCTTGATACCACCTCCTTTTCTATGTTTTTTCCAAAAGGCTGTCAGAATATTTATGTGCTCACATCTGTGGAGTCTCCCTGGAATATAATTCACTGGAGTTTGAAGATATGAATTCTTTTAAAGTGACCTCTTCAGCTTGTATCTTGATTCTCTTTTAATGAGGTTTCTTCTGTCCTTTCAGCTTAAAGCTCATTTGCTTTTAGGAAAGCAAAACAGTTGCTGAGCAGTTCTGTTTTCTTTCTCTAATTAATTAATATACCATCTGCCCTTGCATTTGGGAATTTTTTTAAACTGGAGTCTGTTTTCCATGGTAAGGTGTACTGTGAACAGTATGCAGCAAGTTAGTGGTGGAGAAATACAACCAATCACAGCAAAATAATGTTGAAAGTATGTGAAGTAATAAATAACTCCAGTGAGTATCTAATATGGGACGAATCTGTACTTTAAGAATTAGTTTATTGCTTATGCATTAAGAGTTACACAGTTAAGGATATTTCACAAGGGGCTGACGGTAACAAATGAGTGAAGCCGGATGAGTGTGCCAGACACAAGGGAGTGACAGAGCCGTGTGAACGTGAGTGGGTGCCTAGCTCAGAACTAGTCTAGTTCAGAACAGTGTAAACCTTGCACTGGTGAAACAAAACACTGGCCCAAACATGACGACGAGTCTGTGGCCTTTGCTTTAAGTGCCCCTGGAAGAGGTAGAACTATGTATATTTCCGTTTTATTCCCAACATCTAATGCACTGTGAAGCATGTGGATGTTTGATAAACAGCGCCACCTTAATTAGCATTCCTTAAGTGCCTCGATGTAGAGAACTGTTCTGTGCAAAATAAAAGGAGAAATGACTGTTGCCCTTGAGGAATATTTAATCATATTTGGGGAGGCAGCATTTATAAATTAAATAGACCGGATATCAGGTCAAGAAGAGAATTCCGAGAAGGTTTGGAGGAATTCCAGGGAGCCTGTACAGAGGGGGCGGGCTTCCCCTAGCCTGCAGGATGGGACTGATTTGGTTTCAGCAAGGAATGGGGGGAAGGGTGCTGGTGGAGAAAAGGAGGAGGTGCTATGTTTTCAGCACAAGGGAAGGCTAGGAGGAGAAAATGAACCTGGGTGAGTGGGATGAGAACTGTAGCTTGAAGGGAGGCGAAATTTCTTGGGATTAGTAAGAAATCCAATAGGTAAAAAACAGGGCTGTAAAAAAGGTTTACATTACATGTACCTGTGGTCCCCCTCACCCCCCAAAATACTACACCATCAGCTGCTGAGAATAGGAACGCCATGACTCCTTGGAAGTGTGGTGTGTGCATCACAGAATAATTATTACATTTTAAATAGCAAAATTTTCTGAATTTTTGGTCCTTTGACCTAGAGTCTAAATCGATTTGGACACTGTGCTCTCTCATGTCTCCACATGAGAAAAATGATTCTTTTAAGTATTCAAAACTATATATACTACTGCCTGGAATTTAATTCAGTGCATAACACGGAACACTCTTTTAATTTATTATTTATGCCTCCTACTTGTTCTAAAATATTTGAAGTAGTTACACTACATAACATAAGGACTAATCTTGAATTTGCAAGCAATAGAAAAAACGCTCTACCCTTTTAGATTCATTGGCTGGGCCAATAGTAGATTAACAGGAAAAAAATTATCTATTTATGCATGGGAGTTCACAAAGAAATGTAATTCCAGGTGACAGAGTTGGGGACTTAGATACCATCTTAACAAATGGTGATTAAGTGCAGAAGAGGCTAAGAAAGCGCGGGGCTCCTGGGGTGGGGGTATGTTCTGGGAAGGTGACTAGGAAATGTATGATAAATGGGATTGTTAGTAAGGTTCGTCTCAGGAGGTAAGGGTCGTCTCCAGAGTGGTTCTCTTCCTGGTATTGGAGAGGAAGAGACCTTTACAAAGGGAAATTTACTCTCTGAGGATTTTGGACAAAAAAAGGGAGGGCATATTTTGGAGTGGCAAACTCTGATCCCTTTCAAGTTCCTTAACTGACACTTGAGGTGAAGTTCAGCAGCTCAGAAAAGTGTCAGTTAAGATAACTTTATCAATTAAAATGGCTGTGATTTGGGTATTCTGGACCAACCTTGAATTAGAAGCTACATATGACAGTTCTGGCTTGAGTAAGCCCTACGGTCACATTGCTAATTAAATTTTTCTACCCTTACCTAGTCAAAAGCCATTTGAAGAACTCTTTATGTAGAATCTATTGTTTTTTTCTAACTTTTATGAGATCGAAATAACACAAGTTTGTTGTGCATAATATATTTTTCTCCATGAGCCTAGTGAAGTTCAAAGAATACCCTGTGAGAAAAAGATTTTGTGCAGCGATTTTGAGTATAAAGTCAATTTGTTTAGTGGAGCCTTTTCAGCTTTGGTATTTTATGATTTCAAGGTGTCTTTTTTTTTTTTATAAGAACCTTGGTCAGGATCTTGGATGAGCTACCAGTCTGCACTCAGGAAAATGAGAAACAGCTTGACAAAAGATAATTTTACTGAATCCTAAACTCTTAACACAGCTTTTCCCTTCTTCCTGTACATATCACTTTAGGATTATTAAAAAGCACACT